CACACACACACACACACACACACACACACACACACACACACACACTGAGCACGAGTGTCCTAGAACCCAAGACACAAAATCGTTTGAAATTATCTTGAAACAATCAACAATAAAGTTTTAAAAAACAAAGTGTTGATTCACTGAAGTACTGATGTCTTCTGATCAAAAATAAGAAAGTTGAGGTGTTTAGTCACAGAACAGTTTCTGCMCTCTTGAGTTTTTCGTCTGCTTTCATTTTGACTCTCACATGTATCCCATCAGCCGCTCACTAACCTCAGAACGTAAACATTCAGCTTTCCTCATCACAGCGATCAGATCGTCTCAAAACTCGCTGCGCTGAAACTCTCAAGCTCTCTTCTTCTTTTCTGGAACTTCTTCATGCTGTTATTTAGATTCCGCTTCGTACCAAAGATTTGAATTCATCAGTTTTAGTTTGAGGTTGTTTTTCATTACGGTGGATGTGAGCTGCAAAACACAAAAACTTTAGCCAAAAACTAAAACCCAATAAAATGAATCCAAACTGAACAAACAAGTGAAGACCAATTAAAGGATAAAGGTTATAAACAGTTAATATCTTACCTGTTGTAGATAGCTCTTTGAACAGTCTTAGTTAAGAAAAACAAAGCTGATCTCTGACCAGACTGATGAGTTAATGGCTAGTCAGGTTGGGATACGAGTCCAAAATATATTGCTGACATCTTTAATTGCTACTTTAAAAACTTTTGACATTATGAGTTGCAGTGTTCTGTAAATTTAGTTTCGTACTTTGGTCTGAGCCCTGCTCCGACAGCTGTTTGCTCATCAGTTTGGTCAAAAACAATCAATGTTTCTCCAAAACATCAAACATCGTAAACATAAAGATCTAGTCAGAAATAAGATCTCTTTCTGAAGGCAATGAACTCATTATAACAAATTAACATTGAAAATAATGTGTAGAATTAAACACTTTATGTAAAATTACTTTGTATTGAAGTACGTCGATATGATGTCATGAGCAAAATGACACCTATAAAACATATTCAATCATAAATTCATTTAGTAAAACAAAAAAGGTAGCAGCAAAATAGAGTAAGACTGTTTTTACATGCAGTGATCCCGTGAATTTAAAGTGTTTATTTTTTCCATATTTTTCTCCAGTTGATGTTTTCTAAAATGAGGTTTTAAAGGAAACTTACCTGTGCCGTGTTATGAAGAGGAAGTGGTGACTGGATCAGAAGCAGCAGAGGTCAAAGGTCAGTTATCTGGGTGTTTCTGTCTCATCCAGCTTTGCTGCAGTCGTAGCTGCGATCGCAGCGTTTTTACAGGAAACCACTGACCTTTCCTTCACAAAGCGATGGCCGTTTCACCCATATGAATATTCAGATCACTCAAACGCCGCGATAAAACGTGTTTTAAATAAACTCCGTGCATGCTCATCAGGCTCATTTGCATTTTTTGAAGCGTTTAATTACCTGCAATCACATGCGTCCAATTCCAGCAGCTGTGCTCGATTTATGGAGTTTTTACATAAATATAGGTTACTTGTGTTATAAGTGATTGAACGTTGCGCCAGATGTGAACAAAATGATTTCTGCAACAACAAACGAACCACAAGGACAGGAGTTTGAAATATGAGCCGTAACTCAGCAGGTTGTTTTTTTTACACCAGCTCTGAAACAGTCAGGATGGTGTTTAAAATGTAAATAAAAACTGAACACAGTCATTTGTGAATCTCAAAAACACATATTTTATTTATAATGGAACATAGTAAACATATCAAATGTTTATTTGAGTTTAGCTTTTTCCCAACACAGCTGATTCAATCATTGAATGACCCCTTTCAAGTTCTGCAGAAGCCTGATAATCACTTTCACGCAAATCAGGTGTGTTGGAGCAGAGAAAAAGGTAAACCATGCAGGGCTGCGACCCTCAGTGCCTACTCCTGTTCTAGATCATGCTCATAATTGGGTTCTTTGTATGCTAGAGCTTTAAAAGGGGCATGGCACAATCCACCTTTTAGGCATTAAATGCATTTTGTTGTGAACTTGAGTCTCTAGGAGTGCAGAAAAGTTTAACTTAGTTTCTCCCAATATCAGATAGATACTTTATTTTCTGTTTGGGTCATTTTTTTTCAACAGATTCAGTTTTCTCTCTTTTCTATGACGTTTTAATAACATCATAGAATTTGCTGAACACGATCACAGACTTCCGGTTAACCAATTTTGTGAATCACTACCGATAATCAGTAGTGAGACATGGAGGGGGGCGTTGTGTGAAGTGACTCCTTTGGGTTCAAAGAGACAGCACCAAAACGAGTTGTTCATAACAGGGTCAGACCCGAGGGCCTGAAGATCAGTACCGTCTAAAACTGACGTTCAAACTCGTTCTTTGAGCTGTGATTTYTTCAGATTCTTGACGTATTTTGATGTGATGAATTGTAGATGTGAAATTTCAAGTCTTCCCAAATTTTAATTGAGGAAAATTACTTTAAAATTATTATTTTTAGACACACGTTAGACTGATGAAACTGCTCATCTTTATTTCTAAAATTCAGCTTCTCTAAAATTGCTCTTTATTTTCGCACTCCTGACCTGTTGCTAATTGACCTACCATAATTAGTTGCAGTAAGCTCCTCTTTTATAACCCATGTTCCAACCGTTAAGAAACTTGCTTCAATAAAATTCAAAATAACCTCTTTTCCCCCACTGAGATTGTGTTGGGGCTAGTTAAATATGGATTTCTGAGATTTACGAATGATTTTACATTTTATATAACGTCCCAACTTCTTCAGGGTAGACCTGGTAGATCAAAGAGTCCCTGCTCTGCTCCCTTCTGACTGAATGCACCCGCAGCGTTCAGGCTCTCTGCCTCTGAGCATCACGCTCCGCAGCAGGCAGGCCCATTGGAGCGAGAAAAGGAAAAAGACAGGAGGATGGAGCAGACGAAGAGGCTCCGTGTCCAGGACCTGCTGCAGCAGACACAATAACAGCACAAGACATATTGCTATTCAGACAGAAAGAGCACTTTTTTTTAAGAGCATGAATCCCTGTGTGGCTGCCTGAGGCGTACACACAGAATTATGAGAAGGATTTGAGCTGACACAAGTCACAGTCGCTCCATCGCTGGTGTGAAGGTGGAGGAAGAGGAGGAGGGGATGAATTATTCAACCAGCCAGCTTTGCTCGGCTCTGATGTCTTCTCGTTTCATAGGGAGGTGAAGCCACAAACAATCAGCTGCAGCTCCATAAGAGGCCGCCACGTCACAAGCTGAGAGGAAACCTGCATTTTCTCCAGGACGAGGCGTGTGTGTGATTTCAGAGAGCAGCAGCAGAATAATAGCTCCTCTGAAAATGACAGCCGTCGCCGAGGCGCAGCATCACAGATTGCTGGTCCATCACTCTCCACACACACAAGACGAAATGACAGCCCTGCCCCGCTGATRGCGAGGCAGCTCAGCCTCAGAGTAGGTGTTCTGTGGATTTCTGCCGRGCTTTGATGTTTTTAAACCGAAGCGGAGCAAAAAAAATTCAACGGCGAGAAGATTCACGTCCTGCTGCTGGGACGAGCCTTCAGAGATCTGAAGCTGAGGGGAAAAAAAACAAGACTCATCTGTTCTGCCAGAAAAAGAAATGTATACTAGAAACAATACATACAAGAAACAGCTGACATTATCTCAAATATATAAAACCAGGAGGAATCTGGAGCATTTTTATGCTCTGCTGCATGTGTCTGTCAGCAAAATATCTCATGAACAAATGGAACAAAACTTGCAGAAAGAGCTCATTGAAGAAATCTGGTTCAAGATGGCTGCCTCGGACCTGAAAAACCACAACAAATGGCTCTGGTTCAGTCAGTTTTGGAGAGATGGAGCTACGATTAGGTAAAGCTGATCCCAAACACACACTTTGAGCACTGATCAGGTCAAATCTGTTTAAAATTATTATGAACTCTTTGGAGTCAACTGTGGCAACGTCTCGAGTGTCAAGGTTTCACCAAAACAACAACTCTGTCCAATAAAAGGCTATTCTAAAAACTTGGCAGAAAAGACGGAGAGAGATATGCTTCTTTTAAGGGATCTGAGCAGTGGGTTTACCTTTAAAACAGGATTAGATTTAGATTTGACTCATCAGGCATCTGAAAAAAACAAAACACGAATCTGCTTTCTGTGGTGTAACTTATTTATTTTAATTCCACAAATTTTTCAAAAAAATTACAAAATACTCAAATGGAGAGAACACAGGACTCACAATTTTTCTTATTATTTCTACTTTTTGTTTACATTGTGTCATCCCATGGCGACTACTCATATGTACAATAAGCTTCAAGATACCAGTATATATATAAATCTTAGCAGTCAGAATTTACATTCTGCTATTGCCGCTTTGAAACAAGAAGCTAAACCATTGACAACACTTAACACCAAAGGCTTCGGAGACACAAAAAGGGAATAAAAAGGCGAGGGAACCGTTGAGGAGTGACGATGACGATGATGAAGAGGGAGGGAGACGGGAATGGGTGAGCGACAGGCTGTCGTCAGCGTTTTCAATAAGCCGGGAAGGAAAGAGTTCGATGGCGTTTGCGTGAAAACATAGTGCTCTGTGGGAAGCTGTGGTCACTTTTAAATGCAGTTACAGTTTCTTCAACTGGTTAAAATAACATAAAAACGTAAGAAAAGCCACAGCTTTGTTTGTTTTTAAAGTGTCCATGACGGTCAAACAGTCTTAGTGCATGGATTTGATGCAGAACTCGGATCATGGCTGCAAAAAAAAATAAAAAAATAAAACAAAACAAGAAATTTAAAAAATATCTGCTTGTGCACTGATGTGACAACACATGTAACAGTCAGTGGCGCACACACACAAACGCCACAGTGTGTGTCCAAAAAGGAATCAAGGCATGTGAGGAATACACACTAAATCCTCCTCCCTACGTGTGTCAGCAGCCCCGCCCCCTCCCCAGTCTGAGTCACAGTGAACATTGTTTCAACCTGGGCTGCTTCGTAGCTAAAACTGAACCAGAGAAAACTTTAAATCACTCAAATATTAAAAATATAAACTAAAGCATTGAAATTCTGAATTTTTAACATGTATTGAAGCAACTTCACCGTCCTTCAGTTCAGCCTGAAACACATCAGTGTGTCTAAATTGGTAAAAATCTTAATAAAATCATGTTAAAAAAATTAAAACACCACAAAGTGATAAAAACTGTTCATTCTGATGATTTAAATACGACAAAAGGATAAAACGGTTTCGATCGAGCCCAGCGACGCTCCATCAGTGCAAAGTTCTCCTCGTTTTACAGAATCGGAGCGCCTTCAAGTGTTTTAAATCAGTAACTAAACGTGTGGAAACGTTCTGACAACCTGCTGCGTGTCACACGTGATGAATGGATGGGTAACATGAGGGGGGGAGGGGCTTATGTTTGACATAAAATAGTGTATATGAAACTAAATCTAACACAGTGATGTCACAACTGAAGCGCAGCACAGAAAATGCTCGTATAATGCCATGGCGCTCCCCTCTGAAACAAGGGATAATGCTTCAAAACAAATCAACAGGAGGCTGAAAACAACTTGGTTTGGAGTCCACACCTAGGAATAATAATAATAATAATTATAATAATAATTATATGTTTATATATACTATTTACAGACTCAAAACGGCCATGCGGTAGCTTTTTTTTTTCATTTTTAAATTATGAAAAACCTCCAACAATGTAATAAAATAAATGTTGAATTTAAGATAGCACTTGTTATTTTTCCATAAATGGTCTGACAGGTCTTTCTCTCTCTCTCTTATTAAGCACAGTGTCTTGTTCTAGCACCTACAGAAAAAAAAATGTCTGGGAAGCTTGTCATGCAGGAGTCTTGAGGATGTTGTCAYTAATTTACCAACGAAAGTCAATGTCTTGAAAAATAATAGTAAAAATAAAATAAAAAGGTCCTTGACTGAAACAATAATGAAACATTATGTAAAGTTCTCAGAAGACTTGGTCTTTTGTTTTTTCTGTTTTTCAGAACTGGATGTTGTGAGGTCCACATAGAGCCTCTACAAGAYGGCTTTGTGACAACTTCCTGTGTCCTGCACTCGTTGGCTCCTCGCTACCCCGGCTGGTTACAGCTGTTTGTCACTTTCCTTCTTCAATCTGCTAAAATAAATGAATAAATAAAACAGATGTTAAAAWTCAGATGGTTCAAGTGGTTTGTGTTTCAGGTCTGAAGCTTGTTGAGGAGCAGACCTGTAGAAGTCATCACCAGGCACCGGCGCTCCGTGCATGTGATGGTGTCCGTGGAGCCACTGCTGCTGCTCCATCGCCAGCCGCTGCAGCTCCGCCGACTGGGCGTGCATGGCCTGCAGCTGGTGGGCTGCGGACATCTGTGGTGGAAGACCTCCTGGCAGTTCCCGTGGATATGGAGCACCTGCGAAACGAAGAGAGCGGGATCAGGATCATCGCAGAGCTCAGAATGACAGATCGGATGGGATGATTTTTTTTGTTTTGTTTTAGGAGCTGAAACCTTGTGGGGAACCTACCGAACATAGGGTGGCGCAGCATCTCGTGTTCGTGCGGCGGCTGGCCCAGGAGGGAGTTGGGGATGGTTCCTGGCGGGTAGGGGAAGCGAGCAAGGTGAGGGCCGGCTGCCAGGGGGTCTACTGCCAGCGGGTGGGCCCCGGAGCCTGGAGGACAAACGAGACATTCACCACCACCTACTCGGGGTCAGAGTCTTAGGATCAAGGTACACTCAAAACAACAACAACAGTGTTATCACAGACAGCAACATGCAGCAGACAAGATAAATACTTCAGATATTACTCCTCTCATGGTTGTGTGCAGTTTAACCTGCTGTAGTATTTMAATAAAGTCCTTTTCATTCATGTTTTAATGTGATGAGAAAAGTAACAAAATATTCACTGACAAATCACAGCTGACTAACAGAGGAGTATAAAGTACTTGAATAAAATAACTAAGTATAAGTAAAAATACTTTAACAGAAAATAACTGGTGAAAATTAATTTCACTGATAAGAAAAGTACTTAACTAAAAAGTCATAAAACTGCTCACAATAATCAGGAACGTAAAAGTACTTCTACAAACAAAAAATGAAGTGTTGAATTTAATTAACCAGGTTTTGTTAACTGGTTCCACTAATTTGACTCGAGTAAAAGTAAAACAATTTACATATTTTCTTTAAAAAAGTGCAAATTGCTCAGTTTGCTCACCTCGTTTTAGTGGAACCAGTTTGATCAGGTAAATTCAACACTTTATTTATTTATAGTGCATAAACAACTTTCATGATGAGTTGGTCATATTTAAATTTGTTGCAGGTAACAAGGGGTTAAATTTTAAATTAAAGAAGTATTGTTTTTGTTTTGAATGTAACAAAAGTAAAAGTTACCACTAAACTAACTCAATTACAGATCCTCAAAAAAACAACTAAAGTACTGTAACAAAGTATATGTACTTTGTTACTATACACCTCTGCTAGCTAATATGTAGTAAAATAACTACATCATCTTTTTTCATCTTTTTTTCTAAATACACAACCTGACCCGTAAAAATACACTAATTTCAACTCATCTACTGCTTGTTTAAAAAAAGAAAAACGTTTTACTTCCTTTCTAAAATGACACATTTCACAATCCTGACATCTTCAAACTTCAGAGAATCTTTCATTACAGATTCTCATAAAAAACATGCATAAACTGTTTTATTTCTGTGGCAACTAGTAAATCATATAAATCTTACTGCTTCGTGTCAAAGCACATTATTTCACAATAACTAGAAAAATATCCAAAATTTGGGCAGAAAAGCCAAATTTCTCATTAAACTTTGAATAATTATCTGAATATTAGTTCAACTTCTGTTAAAGGTGTATACAGGGTTTGGCTCACCTTGGTGAAGAGGGTCTTGCTGGTGAAGGTGGAGGTGGGAGTGGATGTGTGAGTGCTGGTGGTGGTGCGGCGTGACGTTGAACATCTGGAGTCGTGCGATGGGGTCGTTGGCCACCGTGGCCATCCTCTCGGCGTGAAGTCTTTCTGCGGCCAACCTCTCTGGGTAGCTCATGTCCGGCCGCAGCTGAGGCCCAGGAAGGGCTAGCCGCTCACGCTCTAGTGGGTTCAGACCCGGGTGAAAAGAGGCGAACGGGTGGGGGCCGGCCATGGGAGGTAGAGCGAGGGCCCCGTGCCGTGCGAAGTGCTCCATGGGGTTCGTGGAGGGGTGGAGCGAGTCCATTTCTGGGGGTTTGACCTCGAAGCCGGGCTTCATCCGTTCCCTGAGCTCCCTCTCCCGGATCTCCCGCTCGCGCATTTCCCGCTCGCGCAGCTCCCGCTCCCGCATGGCCGGGTCGGCGTTGTAGAGGCTGGGCATGTGGTAGGCCAGCAGCTGGTCGGGGTTCAGGGACACGAAGAAGGGGTGGTTTCGGTTGGTGGGCGACATGACGTGGGGTCTGGCGTACTCGCTGAGGGTGCGCAGGGCCGGCGTGTCCGGACCGATGTACGGAGGCACGGCTGCGATCGTCGTGGGCGGGCCGTCAAAGGGGGGGCGCATGTGAGCCGGGCCAGCCATCTGAGGTTCAGACATTCTGCTTTCATGTGAGGAACTGCAGGGTTTCTGTGAGGACAAACGTCGAGTGTCAGACGTGTCGTGTGACAAAACTCTTTAATACAAACAGATAAAACAAACACTCACTGATGCACGTTCAAACTCCTTCTCACGCTCCCGCTCCCTTTCCCGCTCTTTTTCCCTCTCCCGTTCTCGTTCCTTCTCCTCTCTTGCTTTCTGTTCTGCTTCCCTCTTGGCTTTCTCCAGAGCCTCCTCTCGCTTTTTGGCCAGTTTGGATGAAGCCAGCGGAGTGAAGTAGAAATCGGTCCTAGCACACGAGTTGTAACCTCGGTCCAGATGCTTGTAGAACCTGTTGTAAACACATCGGAAACTTACTTCAGTTCAGAAACAGTTCATAGTTAATAAACATTACAAACAAGTTGGATCTTTTGAACTGGAAGTGGGTGTTAATGCCACATTTAGATCAAAACCCATTTTATATTAGCTTACACTTGTCTATTACTGAAGAAGGTTAGCAGCCACTTTTCCTGCTAAGCTGACTGTGAATTAAAACTGATTACTGCAGCCTGACAGTCACTTAAACACAAGGCAACTCCAGATAGGCAGATTGAAAACTCACTCACACCTCACTGTAATTAATCTCCCCACGTTACATCCCTCCTAATTTTAAGTCATCAGCCTCCTAAAGGTTAATCGTAGCTTTGAAAGCTTGTTTTGAACACTTTTCCCTCCTGTGTTTCATTTGGTTTTCAGACGTACCGTGCGGACTGGCTGGCGTGGCTGGGAGTGTCGACGACGGTGGGCTCCGGGGAGGGGCTTCTCTGCGGAGGCGGCGGACTTTCTGGCTCTTCTGTTTCGTCCACGGGCTCCTCCTTGATGTGCACAGGTGGAACCGCTGGGCCTGGAGCGGCACAAGAGACCGAGGCAGGCAGTGGCATGGAGATGGAAGAGGACGGCGCAGAAGATGACGGCGGCTGTAAGCTGGGCATAGAGTTCGACGAGGATGGGGGCGGGCCGTTTGGAGGTAGAACGGTACTGAAAGGGTGCGAGGAGTAAGTCGGCTGGGGCGGCCCGCTGGGGTGTGGGGCTGTGGAGGGTGGAAGTGGAGGAGCTGTGGGAGGCTGGTGGCTGGATGAAGGCGGGAGGCTCTGGGACTGAGTGAGAACTGGAGGCTGGGCTGGTGGAGGTTGGAGCTGCTGCCCCTGAGGCATGAGCTGGAGGGGAGGTGGGTGGGCTGAGGGAGGATGATGGTTGGATAAGGAGCTGAGGGGCTTCAGAGCAGGAGGTGGAGGCAGGTTTGAAGGCATCTGGGGGAACGGAGGAGCCGAAACGTGAGGCGTGTGTTTGTGGGGCTGTGGGGTGGGCATCTGAGGGATGGGTGTGGTCGGAGGGGGCTTGATGTGAGGCATGGACATGGGTGCAGGGGGCAAGGGTTGCTCTCTGGGAGGCGGGCCTCCGCTCTGAGAAGATGACTGCGACTGAGAAGGAGGCGTGTGGGCCCTCTGCTGCGACTGAACAGAGATGGGGGGAGGCGGGACCTGAGGGGGACCCACAGGGAATCCCTGAGGGGTCATGGCGTGAGGGTGCGGCATGTGTGACGGTCCAGGCTGTAGTGGGTGCGGCATGGTGGGAATGGGTCCATGATGCGGGCTGGGTAAAGACTGAGGTGGGACTGAGGGGCCAGGAGGCGGAGCCTGAGTCATGGGGGAGTGAGGAGACGGTAGCCTCTGAGGGTGAAGTGATGCTCCGGACTGGATAAGAGACAGTGGACTCGTCTGGGCCAGAGGCTGAGGAGGTAGAGAAGTGGAGGCAGCTGCAGGGGAGACCTGTGGGGGCAGAGAGGAAGCTGAGGCTGGAGGTGGAGCAGGTGCTGAGGAGGCAGCTGATGGGCCTGGTTGACACTGGATGACTGGAGGGTGCTGGCTCTGCAGGAGCTGCTGTTGCTGGGCAGAGGAATCCGAGTCGCTCTCGTTGTCCCGTGGGCTCGGGATGCTCGGGGAGGAGCTCCKGTTGTCCTGGTCGATGTCTTTTGGATCACTGCTGAGCTCCTCGTTGATGCTTCGCCCRTCAGAGCTCTCGCCCTCACCTTCACCCTCCCCCTCGCCTTCTGAAGGCGAGTCCGGTCGGCTCAGCTCCTGTGGAAAACAGGATGAGTGAGGCTCGTCACACCCGGTTCAGAAATTCACAATAAACACACTTGTAGTGTGTGTGTGTGTGTGTGTGTGTGTGTGTGTGTGTGTGTGTGTGTGTGTGTG